TTGAATGTCAGCAGACAGCAAGAAGCCTCCCAGATCTCCAGATGCATTTGAGATATCAAAAAAGTACTCCAGAGTGTTGTTCAGCATGGGGGTGAGTGGATTTGTTATATTGGATTTAGCTCCTGTTGACTATTATTCTGATAAGTTTTGCCTTAATAACACTAAGAAATATATAATGCTTGTGAGATAGTTACCCTTGTTCAACGCTGGTGTTTGGCCTCTGACCTGAGACCGACTCTGAGCTGTCTGCCAGCGACGGCACCACTGCCAAGAACCTGCACAGAACCAAAAGTTTACTCCACAACAAAAAGTAGACGAAGTAATATCATACAGATCGGACGGATCTATTCATTGGCTCATCTATCCATCCATTTGTAAAGAGACAAATTTATATAACACCATCAGGTTTCGGGTCTGCCTCAAAGTTACCTCCCTGCTAAAGATATGCCTGATTCAGCAACTCCGAGGCAAAGGAGAGTTTGCCTGGGTCTGATAACTTCTAACTTAAATGGATCAGAAAACCCAGGACTTTACCCTTTACTCAACTGAGCAAAAGCTTATTTGAAGGGATGAGGCCCTGATCCCTTCCCATAACCTGCTCCACTCACCACAACGCCTTAAAGAGAGACTCAGACAATTTTTTCTTTGAGGCACACACCCCTGAACCCGAGGGAGCATTTATAGGCCACATTTATAGATTGCAGGCTGAAGGTTAAGGCCTAAACATGAAAGCATAACTAAAGCATCTGTACAAACCCAAAGATGGGACCGAAACAAAAAACTTTCCCTTAGGATCCAGCCAAAACACAGCTGAAAACAAATGCATCTGTATGCCAAGAGCATTGATTCAACATCCCCTTAGAAAGGAAAACGAGTTTATTTCTCTTCCATTTTGACCTGCAAATAATTGTGAAAAAGGCTTTTAAATTTGAATCCTCTACCTTTGGTAAACTTTGTTTCGGACTCCCTTCTGGAAGGCCAGCAGGTAGTTCCTTCCATCTGCAGAAAAGACTTCCACTGCCATCGGCTGGAGGGAAGGAAACAAGAAACAGGTTTTAACACAAAACTAGGATCTTTAACGTTAAAGGTTTGAGCATCGATATCATTATATTTATAAACAGTACCATAATGTTACAATAAGGGTTTTCCTCTTTACTCTTGCCTCATTTGGCTTTTTGTGCATATAAAAAGCCCAGGAAAGTAGATCATCCTAATTGGACATATTTCTAATCTAAACCCGTTACAGAGAAATAACAAAATTTTTACTGAGATTATTCTCCAATTACAGCAAAATACAGTAAATATATTCAGACAATAAAAAAAAGCATATAGTATGTCTTTGTGTGGTTTCTGGTTCTTGTTTGGACTGTTGATGCTAACCTGTAGCAGGTATCGCCTCTTGTGAACCTCCTTGATGTCCTCGTAGGCAAAGATGCTGCAGGTTCTCTTCAGCTGGCTCTGGCCCTGCCGCGCCCCTCTGGGGATGATTGCCTCATGCAAACTGGAAAGAAAACACAGACCCAAATTTATTCAATTTTCTTCACAGATAAATGTATCCCCTAAAGGTTTAGCTTGCATTAAAAAACTATTACAACATAAAAAAATAAAGGGAAAATTAGGACTTTATTTTCTGAACTTTACACAGAAAAATCTAAATAGCACAAAACTTGTAAGACAAATAAAACTGCATTCAAAATATTGTAATTAGGAACAAATGCAAATTCATTGATTCGTCACTGAACAAATACCATAAATCAAATGATTATTAATAATGTACAGCTTTAACTGCCACATTTATCCTGAACAATTAAATAGCAAACAAAAAAAAAAACTTCCAGAAAATAAAACGGCTGCAGTAACCTGGTGATAAAAAGTGTGTGCACCATCAGATCAGATTTTTGGTAAAGCAGTTCTGTCTGTCTGTCTGTCTCTGCATTGAGTCTAATCTATAGGCATCGATCAGGATGCTCCACCTTGACCTCACAGCAGGAATCCACTCTAACCAAGTTTACACACTCTACTCGACGCACGCAACAGATTAACTGCTCAATGGACTTTGACTAAGCTGTCCCAAAACTAAAGTCCTTTACCTGTATAAATGAATGGGGCACTATCATGGGGGCACTATCAGCTACCTCCAGCACAGGGATGGCATCAAGCTGTATGCTAAGAGTAAACAAAACACTGACTTGCTGATCCACACCACCAGGATCTGCAGCAGGGACATTGGAATGTCATTCAGGCTGGAGAAATGTGGCCGGATGGTAACAAGGAGAGGAGCAGGTAAGCCGCCCATATGGGATGTACCACCGACAGATAGCTGAAGTGGCTGATATGACCAAATCCTACCAATAGCTAGAGAGGGCTGGGATGAAGGAAAGCATAGAAGCACCGATCATGGCAGTACAGGAGTAGGCCTTGAGCAACAGAACAATGGAGGCCCAGATCTACCATATCAGGAAAAACCCCAGTTTTAGGCTCTCCAGCGAGGTCCCAAAAACAATCCACCCTCAAACAGCAGAGTGTAAGACACTGGCAGTAAAAGGAAAACATGGCACATCATAACCAAGTGAAACATCTGTGCAGAATACGAACTGATGACCCCCTGGTTCCGAATGTGGTGGAGACTGACAGAGTTAAGGTCCTGTGGCACTTTCAGACACAAACAGATAAAATGGTGGTGGCCGACCAACTGGACATTATGATCAATGATAAGCAGCAGAGGGCAGCAGCAGTGGTCAATGTGGCCATTCCATATGTTAGAAACATAAAAAATAAACGAGAGATTGGAAAAATACGAAGGCCTGGATGGTGACGGCAACGGTAGTGCCTGTGGTCAGTGGAGCATTCGGGGCAGTAAGCCCCACATCAGAGCTCTCAGTCCAGAAATGTGCATTTCTAGGGAGAGCTAAGAAACTCTCAAGCTCCCAGGCCTACGGAAGAGGACCCGAGCTTGAGATGAAGGAACTAACCACCATGCCCAGGAGTATTAGGGGTGGCTAAGAGAGCAGTTATGTAGTAAACAATCCAAATCGAGATCCTGAATTTAAGTTTTGTTGAACATTTCCTGTAACGTTCAGGAAATGTTTAGTAAAGGGCGGATTATAGTTCTGCATCTGCACACATCAAATGTCGGTTGCGTCTGGTCGCGAACCAGTTTTGCTGGTATGCAACGTTGGTCTGGAATTTCTAGAGACGCACAGCAGTTTCCCGCCAAAGCTCTAGGGGAAGCCTATTCGAGAACTCATGAGAACTTCGGCGGATGGTCACGTGAACTTTTTCGGCGGCACTGGTTTATTTTCCAAAACCACATATCTGAAGCATCTCACAAGAGGCTGTACTTCCGAACCTACTTGATCAACCTTTCGTTGTGGTTATCCATTGTTATTAATACTCCTCAGCTTATAAAGATGGCGCACCCTGGCACCGAAGATCATTCTACTTACCTGTTCAAATTAAGGGCAAACACACTGATTTTAAGTTATTTTCACTCATTTCTAGATCATTTTTTACTGCATAACAGCCCCACTAGCATGATGCTGCCACTACCATACATCCCTGTTAAAAATGTGTTGCACAGCACTGGTTTTGTGTGTAAATAATAAAAAAAAAAAAAACTCATGAATTTGTGACCTAAAGCTAATGATTGCCTTCATCAGAACAAAGCAAAGTATTGTGTGATTAAATATGACATATGTGATTTAAGCCATGTCAGGATGTTTCCATAGGAAAAAGATGTTACCATCTTCTGATTCTAAGATGAACTGGTTGTTTTATATTCACCACAGCCCTAATCAAAAATTTCCATTCAGCTTTTCCATTTTTGCCGCAAGCCCCTGCACAGCCTCACGCTCCAGTTTCCAACTCATACAGGACATATGTCGCATTAAAGCTGGAAGATGTTTTTATGATCAAAAAATGGCATCAAATAAATCTTTGAAAGAAACTAATTAATTTCTTCACTCTCTTATCAATAATGTATTGCCTTGTGGGATCATAGGGAAACCATAGGCAGTACAACCCTTTTAAAAATAAAAAAGTGCAGCAACCATCTGCTGTCATTTCCTTTTCTTTTTTAGGCTTTTGGCCAATTGTGTCTCACAGGAAAAGGAAGAGTCGGCATCCTCAAAAAAAAGACACATTTATAAAAAGCTTTGTTGAGTTTGACAACGCATGCTCCATCCGTAGCATTACATCATCCCAGCAGCTGCGGTGTCCAGAGGGATGATGTCATTGTGAAGGGGTAGTGCAGTCGGAGTGCTGCCCGTCCGTCAGCCGCGGTTCCAGACATATTAACAGTTCTGGAGGTGTTGGTGTACAGCGGCAGACAGGGAGGGGATGACTTACTTGGGCGGCAGCGTGTCGATGTCCCTGATCTCCCTGGAAACGGTCATGGTGTAGCCGTCAATGACGTAGAAGTGCTCCTTGCCGAACAGCAGCAGGCCCTCGCTGGTGTCCAGACCCTGCACTCTGGCACAGCGGTACATGTGCTGAATCTGCAGGAATGGATGATAACAGACAGCGGCTTAAAAAAAAGACTTCAGAGAAAGGACACTCTGAGCTTAGATAAACAGTGTTCAGGGAAAACGTCGGTGAAGGAAAGATGAAAGGGAGAATCCACTGAGCGCACAGAGAAGTGTCAGTGAGACAGCTTTGTGCAGAACATCAGATACGTTTGATAAGATGCTGCAGCGACCCTCAGAGAGAGTCCCCCATGCTAACATTTTATATGTAAAGGAAAAAAAAACAAGGAGGGAAAAAAACAGGAAGAGGAAGAAAAGATAGAGGAAGATGGCAAAAGAGTAACAAAAAGAAGAAGAAAATGATAAAGCAAGAGAAGCTATATAAGGTAGGAAATAAGGGAAGGATGAAGAGAGAATTTAGATATTTCAGTGCATCTTCTTAACCTTCTCCCCTTCCTCCAGGAGGCGCAGCAGGGATGTGTTGTCGGTCCTCTGCTCCTCTTCCGGACCTCCTGACTCCAATAGCTGGTCCTGCAGCTGTTCTTGGCTGTCCTCGTCTGCACCATCCGCTGTGGACCGAGACCTCTTCAGAGGAGCCTTCACCAGACCTGGAGATCACAGGGGGAAAAAAACACACCTCAGGGGCAGATCACATAGACATTCGGTTACACTAAAAATGCCTTTTATCGCGTCTGGGAGCTTAGCGTTCATCAGTGAGATCTAAGTCATCACCAGTACCTTTCACTCTAGCGATAGTGTCCTCCCCGTGCTCCGGTTCGTGCTGCGTGGTCTCCCCCTCTGTGCTGTGCTCCACAGAGTGCTGGTACATCCCCGGATTCCCTGACAGCAGGCGCATGTAGTATTCCTTACTGTCATAGCTGATGGCTCGGCGGTACCGCAGAGGCTTCTGGATGGGAATGAAAAGAAGGTGAGAATCTGAGGCACAGAAAAGACTTCTGAAAAGGACATTTAAGTCGTTTCTTTCTCATGTTGATTTTTTTAACAAGCAGACATATTCTCTTCAAATATACTAAATCTGACAGGAATAGCTTGAACTAAATCAGTTTGCTTCCAAATCCATGTTTGTGACGTGAGCAACAGCGCAAAGGAAGAGAAAGGTTTAGATTGTGTACCAAAGGCAAGCTGATAGGTCTATACATACTTTCAGCCAAAACCACAGACAGGTGCACAGTGCAGGAGAGCATGTGGTCATCGGATGCTGCAACCGCGTAAAGCCATGTTTTAGATTCTTTTAGCTGTATAGTTAAAACATGCATTCACACCAGACAGAGCTGAGCACTGGGTTATTCTTATTATCATTCACAGGGACATCAGGAGGGTACCTGAGCTGAGGGGAACAAGGGCACCAGAGGTGGGGAGGAAGGCTGGAAAAGGTACAGAGAGGAAGGCTGAAACAGTTGATAATAGCTGGGGGTGTTCATATTTCCACTTAAATATAGATCCTTAAGTATACAGAAAACGTCCAAAATAAATAGCTTTCATTTCTTCTCGGTAACAAGGAGAGGACAAGCTTTCATTTCTTCTCGGTAACAGGGTTCTTCTGTACCTTAATGATTGGCTTCTTTTTAACCCCTCACAGGCCTCTTGGGATACATGCTGGCTCCTTGCCCATGTGTCACGGTTGGGCTTCAAGGTCAACTTGGAGAAGAGCTGCCTTGTTCCATCTCAGACATCCACTTTTCACAGGATGCAGATGGACTCAACAGCCATGATGGCTCATCTGTCTGTTCACAGGGTGAACGACATACTCAAGCTGGCGGTTTCCTTACATCACCTTCTTGCAGATGCAAGGCAAACTGACCTCTGTCACTTATGGTGTGCTCTTGGGTTTGCTCTTTCCTTTTCAAATGTGGCACAACAGCTTTCTTCTTGATGACATCGTACACATACATCTCAGGCTCACAGTGACATGGATGTGCCTCTATGCCCTGGCCACATGGCGAGACCGGACTCAACTGTTCAAGGGCGTCCCTATGGGAATAAAGGTGTGTCGCAGGGAGGTGGCCACCACAGATGCCAGTCGCATGGGCTGGAGTGCTGGGTGGCAATGCGCAGTGGTTTACGGTCTTTAGGGTCGATGGGAGCACAACGAACATATAAATATAAATGTTCTGGAGCTGCGTGCACATGGCTGTCCTACCTAGAGGGGAAGCATGTGCTGGTTCAGATCAACCTCTGTGTTTTCCGATGTCAACCATCAGGGAGGTCAACGGATCAGCACAACTCTGAAGGTGTTCAATGATCTCCTAAAATGGGCCTCTCTTAATCTGTAAACCCTCAAGCAATGTATTTACCCGAGATGTACCCAGGGTTTAATAATATCTTTAGTTAACATGAGATACAATGTTCCATAAAGTGCATTTAAATGACCCGGTTTATATAAGGGACATTTTCTGGGTTAGGATTTATTTTAAATAAATCAAAGCGAACGAGTTCAGCTCCACATCCAAAGAATAACGTATTAAAAAAGATATATATTAGGCAAACATAAAGTAAAATGAGTGGCATTTTCCTCATGGGATATGTTATCGGTATGTAGTTCATCCACACTCATGATAAAATATATCCCTACTGTCTGTCTAAATGATTCAAATGTACTGATAAAAACTACAGTGATTTGATTTCGTAAGGGTTAGATTTACCTTGTATCCATTCATGTGGTGAAGTCCCTCCAGGTAACATTTGATGTGAATTGGTGCTCTGTGGTTTAAATGAATCGTGTCTAAACTAACCTGGAACCTTTTAATCAGCTGTGTTCAGCAGAGACCCAAAAGGATTGTCTTCTGGGTATATGTTACCAGATCTCAGCTTACTACTACGGGATAAAGAAGAAGAAGCTGGATTCTGTCAAATGTAAGAATATAGGATGGAGATCTAAGACTCTTTTTTATTTTATCTTTGTTGGGCAAGTAATTCAAGTCTTGTCTCTTAAACTCAAAACACCCTGTTAACAATTCTGCAAGGGATTAGAGAAACCTTATAGCTTACACTTGTAGCTTTTCTGTCTAATAAAAGCACATACATTGAAACTGAAAAAGTAGAAAGTTTGTAAAACTGGTTCATCAGGGAGGATTTTCTTGTTGTAGAGCTGAGTACCTGTGCAGAGTTGGTGTTTGTTTCGGTCTCAGGGATGTATGGGTAGTGAATGTAGAACATGTCATTGCGAACCATCTTCTTCCTCATCCTGCACGGCCCCTCCGTCATCTCCAGTGTGAACTTGTCCAGGTGGGAGCCGATAGGCGGGCCCCAGAGGCCTCGCTCCCGCAACAACTCGTACTCGATGGCCGCCCACTCTTCGGTCACATACTTCAGGGCGTTCTGCTGCCGCTGGCGGACAGAACAGATGGATGAAAAGCTGACGGTGAGTCACTTTAAAAAGGCTGCTATGAATTATAAATGGAACTGCAAAAATGCTTCTGTAAAGTCGCACTGCAGTGTCCCTCCTATTTGGGTACCTCTTGATACTCCTTATACTGCATGGCAACAAGATCCCGAACCACTGCGATGTGCGTGAACATCCACTGGAAAGTCTCCTGTTGGTCAGAAATGGAAAATGAAACCCGACCTAATATGGGTTGAACTAAGTGATGTTCGATGCGACAAATTTACCAGAGCAGACGGGCTGTTCTTGTTCAGGCTGTTCTCCTTCTTGTTGCGTCGCACACCGGTCAGCTTGGACAGGCCAAAGCCGCTGCTAACTCTGGAGAGTTTGGACTGGGCGGCTGGCGCTGCAGCTTCCCCGCGACTGATGTACTTTTTCTCATGAACTGATAACGCAGAGAGAAAAAGTCCAGATTACTGCCTTTATTTAAACTATAAGCCCTCAGGATTAATATTACCTAATTTTGTGGTAAAGGTTCAGACAGCAGATTAAACTTGTAAACCAACCGCTTAGATCTGCTCCATGAATGGATTACACAAGAACAAAATGCTAAGTGTTGATTTTTAGGAGCATTTCTACGTCTTTAAATGATGTTTGCATTGTTTTTATATTTGTACAAGCCGCTGTACGAGCTGTATTTGAACGCACAATAAAATTCTAACTGTAGGGAAGCCTACCTGGTCAGGACCGCCACCGCAGAATCTCATAAGCTGTGAGGCATTTTCGACTTTCTGTTAAATGCTTCAGGCTGCTGGGTTTAGATATTCTCCAGTATCAGAGTGTCTGTTTTTCTGCTATCGCTTTTTAAAGTTGCGTTAAAGATCGTTGTTTCTGTACCCAAATAATTCCAAACTACTACTTTCTATTTTAGAGGAGCAGATTACACTCATTGTTTGCTGGTTCTTCATGGATTTTGTGTCACTGAATGAATACACTTTAAAACTTCAGAACATCTGGTTGTCTGCCAAACTCTCTGGCTGTAAAACAGAAACCACTTTAAAATATCAGCAGTAACCTGCTTATATCGGTGTGAATCGACACAGAAGTCAACGATAACAGAGTTGTTTTTACAAAGAGCCGTACAGCCATGCCCTTTATGAGTACGATTGGGTTGAATGTATTCTGAGTTTTTTCCCTCACCCAGGTGGTTCTGCCAGCTCTTCAGAGCAGGTTCCTCCAGAGCAGGGCGGGCGGTGCTGATGTCCACGTGTCCTCTGTCATTGCATGGCAGAGACACTTTGAAGATGTCCTCCAGCATCTGACGCTTGCTGTGCATCAGCTCCGTCCACACGCGGTTCACGGCCTTCAGCAGCAGCTGTCGCCCTGCAGGAGGGAGAAAACTTATCACGTTAAAAGTGGTGATGTAAGGCTGCTTTTCTGATCAACTACCTGTGTTCTGATTGTAGAGCTGCACAAAGAGTCTACCTCTATTCAGACGGACATTTTAAAATAAAAATCGACTCAGGAAGAAAACGATTCCATAGATAAATGTATGAAAACCTTCTGTTTGGATCTTGTTTTTAGGGGAGGATGAATAATAAGAACAAGAATAAATCCCTCTGCGTACAACAAACCCACACATGAGTAGAATGAGCATAGTGTCTCACCCTCGCTGACATCATGGCTGTGTGTTGAGTCAGTTTCATTCTCTGCGGTCATCATGACGTGCCAGGTAGTCATCCTGGCCTCCGCCTCCAGACCGAAACCTTCCACGCTGCTGAGGAGAGAAAAACAATCATGGAACAACACATCCTGCAGGTAACTGTTTGGCTCTTAGGTTGTAGACACATCAGATCCCTGGGGTGGGACGGCATGAGACTCTGAGGGAATCTGATCACACCTGCTTTAAAGTTCATAAAATGTCACTACAAGCTGCACATCTGTTACAGATAATGTTGTTTGTCCCCAAATCCCACATGCAACACAATTCTATGTGGGATTCATTTGCTGCATATTCAAACTAAATCTGTTCAAAAACTCTATGCTTTTTTTCCCTCTAAACAAATAAAAACATTCCTGCCCCTGTTTGCAGATGTCTGTTTTTTTTCCTTCTTACCTCCCGCTGTGCAGGCAGATGAAGCAGTGAGCCAGGCAGGCCACAAAGTCCTGGTCGTGGTTGCCCGGTCCGAGCACCAGATTGCGGTTGACCGTCAGGACTCGCAGGGCGTCCAGCAGGGCCACCTGCTGAGCTACAGTCTTGTGGGGTCGACAGAGTTGGTAGAGCACCGTCCGGTTCAGACAATGGTAGATGGTGTCCAGCGACAGACCCTGGGACCGTCTCTTAGACTGGAAGCAGACTCAATCATTAGTCGGCTGTGTACACACTCTGGTTGTTAGCTTTTGTTGGTACAGCCTTCTAAACTAACTGCAATGAGGCTTTGAGTTGTAAATACACAAACTTTACTAGAAAACCTGACTGTTAAAAACAGAAATAACTGACAATAAGCAGGTGGACAGAAATAGCACTAATCACATAAATATATTTCAATAGCACTTTTACTGCTTTATATTTATATACTTTATATTTAAGGGAAACATATTTTAGGACATTACAACTTTTTTTATGCTTTTCTGTGCTATATACACTCTTTTTATATTGTCTGTTGTATTTTTATCTTTAATGGCATCTTGCTTTATCTCTATCTCTATGCCATTTGTACTCTATATAAGCTACTAGAACCAGAATTTCCCTGAAGGAGTAATCCCAAGGAATAAATCAAGTTGAGGTTGAGTTTATGTCCAAGTCTAATGCTACGTTCGCACCACAATGTTAGGATTATTATCATTGATGATGTGTGAGTTTATTACACCTTGGTATTGGCTGCCTGTTGCGTGTCAGAACTGATGTTTTCCTCAATAGTCTAATTAAGACAGTTCCTCTCTCTGGACATACAGTAATAATCTTCATTCTGTACTTGGCAAAGATTTGGAAATGGAATGAGAGCGGTGTCCTTCAGCTAAGAACGAAGTGTAATATTTTGATAAGGCTGAAGCAATGAATGTATAATCATCTGCTAACGTGTATGATGTAAAATATGATGATGTGGCAGACTGGAGTTGTATAAAATGCCTTTTTAACTGTTAATCTGGACCAGTTAATCCTGAGAGGTGAGCATGGACGTGTGTAGCTGCCTTCTGCACACTCTAAGCAATTTCTCTGATCGGAGTAAGATTACAATTTCTATCAAAATCAGTTGTCATGTCTCCTGGTTATTTAATACATATAAGTTATTTAAAGAGTTTGTCCCGAGTGATCTCTTTTCAGGAAAAAGAACCTGTGAGATAGAGCGCCAAGGTGCATACATAGAGCCTATCTTTAACAACAAGCAGCAAAAGTGCTGCTTCATTTTTTATGCTTGTACAAGTTTAGTTCTGATGTGCGGCTAAAGCCTCTTAACTCTAGCTGCGTGGTCGAAAAGTGGGTCTGATGCACGTTGGGCAGAGCTACCCTATCCTTTCTTTGCCTGCACAATGACAGCCATATTTGCTATAATTAGTGGGTAAAAAGTAGTTTTAATGTTTTTAAATGAGAAAGTCCACCGGAAAACAATCTGTGCCTTCAGTTCATCAAGATTACAATCCTGCCTTCAAATATTATTTAGCTGTCAGAGCAACTCAGATGCCCGTACACCAGCGGTGTTCTGTCACTAGGAATCCCGTTCAACAGCAGCCTCTGGCCCGGTCGCCTCTTTGCGGTTTTCAAGTACTGTTCACGGCGGCTGGAAGTAGATGTTAGCGTTTTCACGTACGTACACCCAACTACAGGATAATAAAAGCTAAATGATCACTCCCCTGATCATAGCGCTCTGCATCAGCAGTGCGGTGTCTGTCTCCCTGCCAGCTCATAAATTAGCTACTCTGATTGGTTGATGTGGCACATCGAGTAGCAAAAGTTCAATTTTTCCAATCAGCAGCAGCTGCTTTCGCAGTGCGTCCCGCACATCAGATGCACAACAGGCGCTGTTTCAGCTGCTCAGACGCGCTGCGCCTGCTACTCAAACGCACGCTGTGGGACCTTTTGGTGCACCAAGATGCGCGTCAACCATTGACTATGCATGTAAATTAGCTGCGTCTGCTTCCTCCGCTGTTTTACATGTGAACGTAGCATAAGTCTAAGCTACTTTGGTGATCCAATCTTTATGTGCTGTCCAATAGCCACAAAGTCATGTTTTATTTTGTATTATACTCTGCTTCAAACTCCCATGTACAAATTATATCCATCAGGTGTGAACTAGATATGTTTACCTCAAAATACCCAAATGTCTGACAATTCAGGCTTTAATGTTAATGTCATTTTTGTCAAAATGTTTCAATTGAAATGGACAAATATGGTTTAGAGTTACTGTACATCCATGCTGCTAATCTAATGGCATTTTCTAGATGGATTGGTTCAGTTAACTTGACAAATAACTAAATCAACCAGTTTAGGAGGTACAAATACCCCAGTCTGTGTCTCACAATCTGCCACAGTGATTCAGGAGGACATAAATTACCTGAAGCTAACAAATGTAGGATAAATACTACTGCTACATTTTATGGAAGAGATTCCAATGAGCCATTTTTGGACATACCTGTCCAATCAGCTGCACAATGAAGTCCACCACCAGCTTGGAGTCCTTGTTGAACATTCCCTGCCAAAGCTTGTCCACCACTCTCTGGGTGAAGTAGAAGACGTTGTTGACCAGGATCTGATAACTGCCCCCAGTGCTGAGAGGCAGAGAGGCGTCTTCACCTTAAAGATGAGAGAAATTTGTATTTTCTTTATTTAACATGGGAATTTAGGCATTTACATACATTTCTGTCAAATTTTGTTAC